ATGTCCCACCAACCGTCTATTATTCGAAAAACTCACCCTCTCCTATCATTAGGTAACAGTATATTAGTAGACCTCCCTTCTCCTGCTAACATCTCGGCCTGATGAAATTTTGGCTCATTATTAAGTTTATGCTTAATTCTACAAATTATTACTGGACTTATTCTTGCTATACACTACACCGCTAATACTGAACTAGCCTTCTCTTCAGTTATACACATTTGTCGTGACGTTAATAACGGATGACTTATACGAAACCTCCATGCTAATGGCGCCTCTATATTTTTTATCTGCATCTACGCTCATATCGGACGAGGAATTTATTATGGCTCCTATTTATATAAAGAAACATGAAACGTCGGAGTTATTTTATTTGCACTAACTGCAGCTACTGCCTTCGTAGGTTATGTTCTCCCATGGGGACAAATATCCTTTTGGGGGGCAACCGTTATCACAAATTTAATTTCAGCCATACCATATGTAGGAAATGATATTGTAGTATGATTATGGGGAGGCTTCTCAGTATCAAACGCCACTTTAACCCGATTCTTTACCTTCCATTTTATCTTACCATTCATTTTAGCAGCAATAACAATAATTCACATTATATTTCTTCACCAAACAGGATCTAGTAACCCTATAGGAATTAATTCTAATTTGGATAAGATTCAATTTCACCCGTATTTTTCTTTCAAAGATATTTTAGGTTTTGTTATTCTACTGGGCATTCTTTTCATAATTTCCCTTTTAGCCCCTAATGCACTAGGTGAACCAGACAACTTTATTTATGCTAATCCTCTTAGTACCCCTCCCCATATTAAACCAGAATGATACTTTCTATTTGCCTATGCCATTCTACGCTCTGTTCCTAATAAACTTGGAGGTGTTGTAGCTTTAGCAGCAGCTATCATAATCCTCCTAATTATCCCATTTACTCACACCTCCAAACAACGCGGAATACAATTTCGCCCACTCGCCCAAATTACATTTTGAATTTTAATTGCCGATCTAGCACTACTTACATGACTAGGGGGAGAGCCCGCTGAATATCCATTTATCTTAATAACACAAATTGCATCAACAGTCTACTTCATAATTTTTATTCTAGTTTTCCCAATTTTAGGATATTTAGAAAATAAAATACTATTAATATCAAAAAATACTGGTAAATTTAATTGAAAATTAGTTTACAGACCTTCAAAGGAAGGGGATTTAAACCCCTATAACTAGCCCCCAAAGCTAGTATCTTAGTATTAAATTATCCTCTGATTTTTAAACGTCCAGAGTAGCTTAACATTAAAGCAGAGCACTGAAGCTGCTCAAATGGTTTTCTCAACCCCTTGACACAAAGGATTAGTTCCAGCCTTAATATCAACTATATATGAAATTACACATGCAAGTTTCCGCACTCCCGTGAGGACCTCCTTTAACTATAAACATAAAAAAGAGATGGTATCAGGCTCACAAAAAGTCAGCCCACAACACCTAGCCACCCACACCCTCAAGGGTACTCAGCAGTGATAAACCTTAAGCAATGGGCGCAAGCCCGACTAAGTTACATATTTTAGAGCTGGTAAACCTCGTGCCAGCCACCGCGGTTATACGAGGAGCTCAAGCTGATATCTCCGGCACAAAGCGTGATTAAAATATTTAGCTTAATTAATACTATAGAAGCCATCATGCCTGCTAGTTAAATAGGTATGCCTAAGTATCCCAACATCGAAAGAATCTATATTAATAAGCTCACTTTGATATCACGAAAGCAAAACTCACAAACCGGGATTAGATACCCCGCTATGCCTGCCATAAATAAACAACCGTCGCCAGGGCACTACGAACAATCGTTTAAAACCCAAAGAACTTGACGGCACCCTAAACCCACCTAGAGGAGCCTGTCCTATAACCCGATACTCCACGTTTTACCCAACCGCCTCTCGCCCCCAGTCTATATACCGCCGTCGCCAGCCAACCTTATAAAAGAATAACCGTAGGCAAAAAAGTCTATCTATACAAATACGTCAGGTCGAGGTGCAACCTATGAGGCAGGCAGAGATGGGCTACACTCTCTACCCAGAGTATACGAATAATTTAATGAAAAAATTTTGAAGGTGGATTTAGCAGTAAACAAGAATAGTTTGTCTAGTTGAAGTTGCCACTAGGGTGCGTACACACCGCCCGTCACTCTCCCCCCACACCCGGAGAAAAGTCGTAACATGGTAAGCGTACCGGAAGGTGCGCTTGGAAAACAGAAGATAGCTTAAAAGTTAAGCATTTCCCTTACACCGAAAATATTCTTGTGCAATTCAAGATCTTCTGACTACTGATCTAAAGATATATTTCTAACAACTCTTAACTTCTGATTATAAAACAATTAAATACTTTACCGCAAACCATTGCCCCCATTTTAGTATAGGTGATAGAAAAAAAATTATACACATAATAGTACCGCAAGGGAATATTGAAAAAGAAGTGAAATAAATTGATTAAGTAAAACAAAGCAAAGATTAAATCTTGTACCTTTTGCATCATGGCTTAGCAAGCAAACCCGAATATACTGCCGCCACCCCGAAACTAGACGAGCTACCCTGGGATTACCTATAAGGGTTAATCCGTATCTGTGGCAAAAGATTGGAAAAACCCCTGGGTAGAGGTGAAAAGCCTACCGAGCCTAGTGATAGCTGGTTACTTAAGAAACAAGTTTAAGCTTGATCTTAACTTGTAGATGAGCAACAAAATTACTTAGAAATTTAAACATCTTACTCCTCTACACTTTAAGTTTTATTCACTAGGGGTACAGCCCTAGTGAACAGAGATACAGCTCTATTAATTAGATAATATACCACATTTTAAACTTAAGTAGGCCTAAAAGCAGCCACCAAGAAGAAAAGCGTTACAGCTTAAGTTTACTAAATTATAAATACCAAAATATATAAAGACCCTATAAACACTATTAAGTAATCCTATAAAATAGGAGATATCCTGCTAAGATTAGTAATTTGAGCCCGCACCCCTCTAAATGTAAGTGTACACCAGATCGGACCAACCACTGGAAATTAACGGCCCTTAAAACAACAGGAAGTCAGAAACATAAACAACAACAAGAAAAACAAGAACTAATAACCGTTAACCCTACACTGGAACATAATATAGAAGATATAAAGGATAAGAAGGAACTCGGCAAACACATGCCTCGCCTGTTTACCAAAAACATCACCTCCAGATAAAAATCAAGTATTGGAGGCAAGACCTGCCCAATGATTAATATTGAATGGCCGCGGTACTTTGACCGTGTAAAAGTAGCGTAATCACTTGTCTTGTAAATTAAGACTGGAATGAAAGGTTACACGAGGGCATAACTGTCTCCTTATCCCTATCAATGAAATTGACCTACCCGTGCAAAGGCGGGTATAAACCCATAAGACGAGAAGACCCTGTGGAGCTTCCAAACATTTACATCGAATAATAATTATTTACGATGTACAGTTTTAGGTTGGGGCAACCACGGAACAAAAGTAATATCCACGACGACGAAAATATAATTTTCTAAGCCTAGAACCACAACTCTAAGCACTAGTAAAACTAACGTTAATAGACCCAGCATCACTTGCTGACTAACGAAACAAGTTACCCCAGGGATAACAGCGCAATCCTTTCCACGAGCCCGAATCAACGAAAGGGTTTACGACCTCGATGTTGGATCGGGGCACCCCAATGGCGCAAAAGCTATTAAAGGTTCGTTTGTTCAACGATTAAAGCCCCACGTGATCTGAGTTCAGACCGGAGTAATCCAGGTCAGTTTCTATCTATGTTTGCTGTTTCCCTAGTACGAAAGGACCGGTGAAACAAGGGTCTATACACTTATGCAAACCCTACATCAATCCTATGAAACCAACTCAATAAGAATAGTAAGCAACATTAAATAATAACTAGATAAGTTTATTTGGATGGCAGAGTTCAGTAATTGCACAAGGTTTAAGCCCTTATACCAGAGGTGCAAATCCTCTTCCAAATAAATCATGCTAATTATATTAACCTCAACTTTAATTTTAGTTTTAATAGTTCTACTTGCAGTAGCATTTCTAACAATAGTTGAACGAAAGACCCTAGGTTACATACAACTTCGCAAAGGGCCAAATGTCGTTGGATTTATGGGTCTTCTACAACCTATTGCAGATGGAGTAAAGCTATTTCTCAAAGAACCAGTATGACCTCTAGCAGCCTCTCCAATCTTATTTATCGTAGCCCCAATTATAGCACTCACTCTAGCCTTATCTCTTTGAATACTCATTCCTATACCACAATCAATTTCCACTATCAACATTACACTTCTTGTAATTATAGCAATCTCAAGTCTATCAGTCTATGCCATCCTTGGCTCAGGATGAGCATCTAATTCCAAATATGCACTAATTGGGGCTCTCCGAGCCGTAGCACAAACTATTTCCTACGAAGTAAGCCTAGGTTTAATCCTACTATGCCTAGTTATCCTAACAGGAAGTTTTTCTCTACAAGCTTTTATTTATACCCAAGAACATACCTGATTCTTACTCTCAAGTTGGCCTTTAGCAGCAATATGATTTGTTTCTACTTTAGCAGAAACAAATCGAACTCCATTTGATTTAACTGAAGGAGAGTCAGAACTAGTTTCTGGCTTTAACGTAGAATATGCCGGAGGGCCATTCGCCTTATTTTTTCTAGCTGAATACTCTAACATTTTATTCATAAACACTCTAACAGCAATTATATTCCTTGGGCCCCTAGGATCAAACAATTTAAATATTTTACCAATTATTAATATTATAATAAAAGCCACTCCACTTATCATTTTATTCTTATGAATCCGAGCCTCCTACCCACGATTCCGATATGATCAACTTATACACCTTATATGAAAAAATTTCCTACCCCTTAATCTAGCTCTCTTTACTCTTCAACTATCCCTTGCTGTGTCATTTGGAGGCGCTGGAGTCCCCCAAATATAAAACACAACCAATTAAATTTAAGTGGAAGTATGTCCGACAATAGGAACCACTTTGATAGAGTGGCTACAGGGGATATTACCCCCTTTCTTCCTTATTAGTATGAAAGGATTCGAACCTTAATCTGAGAGACCAAAACCCTCCGTGTTTCCATTACACCACATCCTAGGTAAGATAAGCTAAATAAAGCTTTTGGGCCCATACCCCAAATATGATGCTCATAACATCTCTTACTATATGTTATCCCCCTTAATTCAGTCTACACTGCTAATAACACTAGGTCTTGGTACACTTGTAACATTCTCAAGTACAAGCTGAATTCTAGCTTGAATCGGGTTAGAAATTAACACAATTGCCATTATCCCACTGATAGCTAAAACACACCATCCACGTTCAATTGAAGCAACAACAAAATACTTCATTGCTCAAAGTGCAGGCTCTGCCACACTTCTTATTACCGCCTGTTTAACTGCTTGATACTCAGGAAACTGAGCAATCAGCCCATCAAACGACCCAATTATTCTTAATGCTATAACTCTTGCCCTAATACTAAAACTAGGTATAGCACCAATACATTTCTGACTCCCAGAAGTAATAGTAGGTCTAGATTTTATTACCGGCATAATTCTAGCAACTTGACAAAAATTAGCCCCAATCACCCTTCTTATTCAAATTGCACAAGATCAGAACAACATATTCATCCTTATCCCAGCCCTACTCTCAGTATTCGTTGGTGGTTGGGGGGGTTTAAACCAAACTCAAACACGAAAAATTTTAGCCTACTCATCAATTGCACATATAGGTTGAATTACTAGTATAGCCCCATTTAACCCAACAATCACCTGATTAACAACATTAATCTACTGCTTAATTACAAGTGCAACATTTATTAATCTTCACATTTTAAAAGCTAATAAAATTACAGCACTAACCATAAATAAGCATAACCAAATCTCTCAAATACTTCTATTACTTCTTCTACTTTCTCTAGGGGGCCTTCCTCCACTTACAGGATTTATTAATAAACTTCTAGCATCAATTGAGCTTGCCAATCAGAATCTTATTATTTATCTTTTTATAATAATGATAGGCTCATTACTAAGCTTATTTTTTTATACTCGAATATGTTATTTATCAATTATTTTATCACCTCCATGCTCAACAACTAATCTTATTCTTTGACGTGTAGTCTCAAATAAACCTATAACCCTTATTACAATACTATCAACCAACCTGTTTATTATAACCCCACAATTATTAGCAGTCTTTACCCTGCACTAGAAATTTAAGTTATTTAGACTCTAAGCCTTCAAAGCTTACAGTAAGGGACACAACCCTTAATTTCTGACTAAAATTTGCAAGATATCCTCACATCTTCTGAACGCAAATCAGATGCTTTAAATTAAGCTAAAATTTTTATCTAGACCAGCAAGCATTATACTTACAACCTCTTAGTTAACAGCTAAGCGCTAATTTTAGCTTTGATCTATAGACCTCAACAGAACTGCTTCTATATCTTCAGATTTGCAATCTAACATGAACTTCACCATAAGGTCAGTCTTGATAGGAAGAGAAATCTAATCTCTGTAAGCGGGTCTACAGCCCACCACCTAAACACTCGGCCATCCTACCAGTGACTCACATTCGTTGATTATTCTCTACTAATCACAAAGACATCGGCACCCTATATCTAATTTTCGGGGCCTGAGCAGGAATAGTAGGAACTGCTTTAAGTATTCTAATTCGAGCTGAACTAAGTCAGCCAGGCACTTTATTAGGAGACGACCAAATTTTTAATGTTATCGTAACTGCCCATGCCTTCGTCATAATCTTTTTTATAGTTATACCAATTATAATTGGAGGCTTTGGCAACTGACTTGTACCCCTAATACTTGGTGCTCCTGATATGGCCTTCCCTCGTATAAACAACATAAGTTTTTGACTACTTCCGCCCTCTTTACTTTTACTCTTAGCCTCTGCAGGAGTTGAAGCTGGGGCAGGAACAGGATGAACTGTATATCCTCCCTTAGCCGGAAACCTAGCCCACACCGGGGCCTCTGTCGACCTAACAATCTTTTCCTTACACTTAGCCGGAGTTTCATCAATTCTAGGAGCAGTTAATTTCATCACAACTATTTTTAACATGAAACCCCCAACTATGACTCAATACCAAACCCCCTTATTTGTTTGATCAGTCTTAATCACTGCAGTTCTTCTTCTTCTATCTCTACCAGTACTAGCAGCTGCTATCACAATACTTCTAACAGATCGTAACTTAAATACATCCTTCTTCGACCCTGCAGGAGGAGGAGACCCCATTCTTTACCAACACTTATTTTGATTCTTCGGACACCCTGAAGTTTATATTCTAATTCTTCCAGGCTTCGGAATTATTTCACACGTAGTTGCTTATTATGCTGGGAAAAAAGAACCATTCGGATATATAGGAATAGTTTGAGCAATAATAGCCATTGGACTACTAGGATTTATTGTTTGAGCTCATCACATATTTACAGTAGGAATAGACGTTGATACACGAGCCTATTTTACATCAGCCACAATAATTATTGCTATCCCAACAGGAGTCAAAGTCTTCAGTTGATTAGCCACTCTTCATGGAGGAAAAATCGTATGACATACCCCTATATTATGAGCCCTAGGTTTTATTTTCTTATTTACTGTAGGAGGACTCACAGGAATTGTTTTATCAAATTCATCACTAGACATTATTCTTCATGACACTTACTATGTTGTAGCCCATTTCCATTATGTTCTATCTATAGGAGCTGTTTTCGCAATTATAGCAGGATTTGTCCACTGATTCCCACTATTTACAGGATATACACTTAACGAAACCTGAGCAAAAGCTCATTTCATTATTATGTTTGCTGGTGTTAATCTTACATTCTTCCCTCAACACTTCCTAGGTCTAGCTGGAATACCACGACGTTACTCAGACTACCCAGATGCTTATACTACATGAAATATTATTTCCTCAATTGGGTCAACAGTCTCACTAATCGCTGTTATACTATTCATATTTATTTTATGAGAAGCTTTCTCTGCTAAACGTAAAGCTATTGCTACAGATCTTCTCAATACTAACCTTGAATGACTTCATGGCTGCCCACCTCCCTATCATACTTATGAAGAACCAGCCTTTGTTCAAACTAACTTCAAGAAAAGAGGGATTCGAACCCCCCTACGCTGGTTTCAAGCCAGGTGCATAACCACATCTGCCATTTTCTTAAGATACTAGTAAAATTATTACACTACCTTGTCAAGGTAATATTATGAGCTTCCTACTCATGTATCTTGCTTATGGCACAACAAGCTCAACTAGGACTTCAAGATGCAGCCTCCCCTATTATAGAAGAACTCATTCACTTCCACGACCATACCCTGACAGTTGTATTCTTAATTAGTGTATTAATTTTTTACCTCATTATTGTAATAGTTACTACCACATTTATAAATAAACACTCTCTTGACTCTCAAGAAGTAGAAATTGTATGAACAGTTATACCAGCTATTGTCCTCATTACAATTGCCCTCCCCTCCCTACGGATCCTTTACCTTACTGACGAAATTAGCAATCCACATTTAACTATTAAAGCAGTAGGCCACCAATGATATTGATCCTATGAATATACTGACTATCACCAAATAGAATTTGACTCTTACATAATCCCAACAAATGAACTTGAACCCGGTGGAATTCGTCTCTTAGACGTTGACCATCGTATTGTAGTACCAATAGAATCCCCAGTCCGAATATTAATTACATCTGAAGATGTAATCCACTCCTGAACTATTCCATCCTTAGGTACTAAAGTAGATGCAGTCCCAGGCCGACTAAACCAAGCAACATTTATTACAACCCGACCAGGTTTGTTCTTTGGTCAATGCTCAGAAATCTGTGGCGCAAATCATAGTTTTATACCAATCGCATTAGAAGCTGTCCCTCTCTCAAACTTCGAGAATTGAACTACTAAAGTACTAGCATCCTAATATATTATCACTAAGAAGCTAACTTAGCATCAGCCTTTTAAGCTGAAGATGGGCGAATACCTTCTCCCTTAGTGATATGCCACAACTCGATCCTGCCCCTTGATTCTCTATACTTACAGTATCATGACTAATTATTTTTCTCTTAATTATACCAACTATCTTATTTTATCAACCACAAAACACCATCTCTACTAAACAAGTTACTAAACCCAAACAATCCACTTGAACCTGACCATGACACTAGATATCTTTGACCAATTTACCTCCCCAACAATATTTGGGCTTCCACTAGCCTGATTAGCTATACTAGCCCCTAGCTTAATATTAGTTTCACAAACACCAAAATTTATCAAATCTCGTTATCACACACTACTTACACCCATCTTAACATCTATTGCCAAACAACTCTTTCTTCCAATAAACCAACAAGGGCATAAATGAGCCTTAATTTGTATAGCCTCTATAATATTTATCTTAATAATTAATCTTTTAGGATTATTACCATATACTTATACACCAACTACCCAATTATCAATAAACATAGGATTAGCAGTGCCACTATGACTAGCTACTGTCCTCATTGGGTTACAAAAAAAACCAACAGAAGCCCTAGCCCACTTATTACCAGAAGGTACCCCAGCAGCACTCATTCCCATATTAATTATCATTGAAACTATTAGTCTTTTTATCCGACCTATCGCCCTAGGAGTCCGACTAACCGCTAATTTAACAGCTGGTCACTTACTTATACAACTAGTTTCTATAACAACCTTTGTAATAATTCCTGTCATTTCAATTTCAATTATTACCTCACTACTTCTTCTATTACTAACAATTCTGGAGTTAGCTGTTGCTGTAATCCAGGCATATGTATTTATTCTACTTTTAACTCTTTATCTGCAAGAAAACGTTTATGTCCCACCAAGCTCATGCATACCACATGGTAGACCCAAGCCCCTGACCTCTAACCGGTGCTGGCGCCGCATTATTAATAACCTCTGGCCTAGCCATATGATTTCATAAAAACTCCTGTATCTTAATAACACTTGGTCTAATCCTTATACTTCTTACAATATATCAATGATGACGAGACATTGTTCGAGAAGGCACCTTCCTTGGCCATCACACTTCACCAGTCCAACAAGGCCTTCGCTACGGAATAATCCTATTTATTATTTCAGAAGTTTGCTTTTTCGCAGGTTTCTTCTGAGCTTTCTATCATGCCAGTCTTGCACCAACCCCAGAACTTGGCTTAACATGACCCCCAACAGGAATTAACCCTCTAAACCCATTTGAAGTTCCACTATTGAATACAGCTGTTTTACTTGCCTCAGGAGTTTCAGTAACTTGGGCCCATCACAGCATTACTGAAAAAAATCGAACAGAAACAACCCAAGCCCTAACTTTAACAGTTTTACTAGGACTTTATTTTACTGCTCTGCAAATTATAGAATACTATGAAACCCCCTTTACAATAGCAGATGGCGTATACGGTTCAACATTCTTTGTCGCCACAGGCTTTCACGGACTACATGTTATTATTGGCTCCCTATTCCTACTTACATGCTTACTACGACACTTACAATATCACTTCACCTCTAAACACCACTTCGGCTTCGAAGCCGCCGCTTGATACTGACACTTTGTAGACGTTGTGTGATTATTCCTATATATTTCAATCTACTGATGAGGCTCTTAACTCAGCCTGCCTTTTTAATACATTTAATATAGTTGGGTTCCAACCAACCAAACCTGGTATAAATCCAAGAAAAGGCACATGAACTCCTTTATAGTTATAATTATACTAACTCTAACCCTCTCATCTATTATAGCTCTTCTAGCATTTTGATTACCGATTATGAAACCAGACAGTGAAAAACTCTCTCCATACGAATGCGGATTCGACCCACAAGGATCAGCCCGTCTACCCTTCTCTCTTCGATTCTTCTTAGTAGCAATCCTATTCTTATTGTTCGACTTAGAAATCGCCCTCCTTCTTCCATCCCCATGAGCAACTAATATTTCCAACCCAGAGTTCACCCTTCTCTGAGCTTCTTTATTTGTTTTACTTCTTACACTAGGACTAATCTATGAATGACTACAAGGAGGACTTGACTGAGCAGAGTAATTTATTGGGGTTTAGTCTAATTAAGACAATTGATTTCGGCTCAATTAATCCTGAACTTTCAGGAACACCTACTCTCACATGCCTACGACATTAATTTTTACCTCTTTTTTCCTGGCCTTATTAGGTCTCTCCCTGCAACGAAAACACCTTCTTTCACTCCTACTAACCTTAGAAAGTATGGCCCTAGCATTATATGTTTCTACCGCACTATGAGCCTTAAACAACACATCCCTCCCAATTATAGCAGCCCCACTTATCATCTTAACCTTCTCAGCCTGTGAAGCTGGTATGGGTTTATCTCTAATAATTGCAACAGCTCGCACTCATAATACTGACCAACTAAAAGCACTAAACCTACTAAAATGTTAAAACTCATCATCCCTTCAATTATACTAATTCCAATAACCTTTTTAATTAACAAAAAAAGCTTACTATGAACTGCTACAACTTTCTTCAGCTTTTTAATCGCAGCTCTATCAACACTTACATTAAATATAGATGTAGCTGAACATAATTCAACCAATCCCCTTCTAAGCATTGACCAATTTTCATGCCCATTAATTATGCTATCTTGTTGACTTCTTCCCCTAACTATCATAGGCAGTCAAGCACATATAAAAACTGAACCAATTACACGACAAAAGACAATAATTTCTCTACTTATTCTTCTCCAAGTCCTTCTATGTATTACCTTCGGAGCCTCCAACCTACTTATATTCTATATCGCTTTCGAAACTACTTTAATCCCCACTCTTCTAATTATCACTCGTTGAGGTAACCAAAAGGAGCGACTCACAGCAGGCCTATATTTCCTATTCTACACTCTATCCGCCTCTCTCCCCCTCCTCCTTGCCCTTATCATAATTCAAACTCATTTAAACTCCTTATCAATCTATATTATTCCTCTATCTAATCTCACCCTATTATTAAACACACCTTGATCTGAAACCTTATGATGAATCGCCTGTTTCCTGGCCTTTTTAATCAAAATACCCCTATATATCTTTCACTTATGATTACCAAAAGCTCACGTAGAGGCTCCCATCGCAGGCTCTATAATTCTAGCTGCAATTCTATTAAAACTAGGAGGTTACGGTATAATTCGTATATCATCTTTATTTATTCCACTAACTAAAGATCTGGCTGTCCCATTCATAATTATCGCCATATGAGGGATAATCGTAACTAGTTCAATTTGTCTACGACAAACAGATCTAAAATCTATAATCGCTTACTCGTCTGTCAGCCATATAGGCCTAGTCGTAGCCGGCATTTTCACAATAACTCCATGAGCATGATCTGGGGCTCTTGCAATAATAATTGCCCATGGATTAGTATCATCAGGTCTATTGTGTCTCGCTAATATTACATATGAACGCACTCATACACGTTCTATCTTCATAAACCGAGGTTTAAAAACTTTATTCCCTCTAATATCATTCTGATGACTTATAATAACTTTCGCCAATATAGCACTACCACCATTCCCAAACTTCATGGCAGAAATTTTAATCATTACCTCCTTATTTAACTGATCAAACTGAACCATCTTACTACTAGGGCTAAGCATAACCTTAACTGCCCTTTTCTCATTAAATATACTTATTATAACTCAACATGAACACCCAAATAAACATGCACCAGTTAACCCAAGTACCACCCGTGAACACCTACTTATACTTATACACATAGCCCCTATTATCCTTCTCATTGCTAACCCAAGCGCTATTATAATTAGAAGCACGCATAGTTTATACAAAACATTAGATTGTGAGTCTAATAAAGAAGGTTAAAATCCCTCTGCCTGCCGAGAGGGGCAAGGCAGCACTAAGAACTGCTAATTCTTTTCCCCTGAGGTTCAACTCCACAGCCCTCTCGAGCTTCTAAAGGATAAGCAGCAATCCGCTGGCCTTAGGTGCCACCAATCTTGGTGCAAATCCAAGTAGAAGCTAATGAATTCCCACTACTTAACTTTAATTATAAACTCCGGAGCATTACTCACTATTATTGTCCTTCTCCCTCCTATTATTATACCTAAACCATCAATAATTCTCACAACAAAACTAGTAAAAATCTCAATATTTATTAGCCTTATCCCACTAACTATTTATCTAAACGAAAATATAGAAACCACCCTAACTATAAAGCCCTGAATAGACTGAGCCCTATTTAATATTGCCTTATCCTTTAAAATTGATAAATATACTGTTATCTTTACCCCTATTGCTCTAATAATTACCTGAAGCATTATAGAATTTTCACAATGATATATAGCAAAAGAACGTCATATAGACAAATTTTTTAAATATCTCCTTCTATTTTTAATCACAATAATTACATTCATCTCTGCAAATAACCTACTACAACTCTTTATTGGTTGAGAAGGTGTAGGAATCATATCCTTTCTTCTAATTAGCTGATGGTCAGGTCGAACAAAAGCTAATATCTCTGCTCTTCAAGCAGTAGCCTACAATCGAATCGGAGATATCGGGTTAATAATAAGTATAGTATGAATATGTTCTAACACTAACTCTTGAGATCTGCAACAAATTACAATACTTCTATCTGATCAACAGTACCTTATTCCAACCTTAGGATTCTTAATCGCAGCCACAGGTAAATCAGCCCAATTTGGTCTTCATCCATGACTTCCTGCAGCAATAGAGGGCCCAACTCCTGTTTCAGCACTATTACACTCAAGCACTATAGTTGTTGCAGGAGTATTTTTACTAATTCGACTCCACCCTTTATTCCAAAACTATCCATTAATATTAGAAATAACCCTATGTCTAGGAGCAATAACCACCATTTGTGCTGCCCTATGTGCAACAACACAAAATGATATCAAAAAAATTATTGCCTTTTCTACATCAAGTCAACTAGGCTTAATAATAGTCGCAGTTGGTCTTAACCACCCTCACATTGCCTTTCTCCACATGTGTACACATGCCTTTTTTAAAGCTATACTTTTCTTATGCTCAGGAAGTATTATTCATAATATAAATAATGAACAAGATATTCGAAAATTTAGCTGTTTAAATAACAACTTACCTCTAACAACAACCTGTATAACAATTGGGTCCGCAGCACTAATAGGCTTACCATTTCTAGCTGGTTTCTTCACTAAAGACTTAATTCTAGAAGCCCTAAATACTTCCTATACTAATGCCTGAGCCCTAATAGTTACTCTTATAGCCGTTACATTAACAACTGCCTACAGTTCACGCCTTATTATTATATCAGCCTCTGGTACACCACGATACTTACCCCTAACCCCAACACACGAAAATAATTTTATCAAGAACCCATTAAAACGTTTAGCCTGGGGCAGCCTAATTTCAGGACTAATCCTTACAAGTACCCTCCCACCAATAAAACCTCAAATTTTTACAATACCAACCTATATTAAAACTATTGCTCTAATAATATTTATCATTAGCCTAATTATTTCTATAGAACTAACCAATAAAAAAATTAACCAAACTACATTCTCCTTCTTTACTCAACTAGCATTCTACCCCCATATTATCCATCGTTTAACATCCCACCTATCTTTAATCTGAAGTCAAAAATTAATAACACAAGTAATAGACGTATCATGACTTGAAAAAATCGGACCAAAAGGTTTAGCTAATCACCAACTTAAACCCTCCACTACACTAACAGAAGCACATCACCTAAATTCTGCCACCCTACCTTTAATAGCCTTTGCCCTAACCTTAATTACACTAAGTCTCACAGCTCGTAGAGCCCCACGATTTACCCCTCGAACAACTACCAAAACAGAAAATAAACAAACTAATAAAGCCCACCCAGCTAGTACAAGGATTAACCCAACCTCATAGAAAGTAGTGACTCCCAACCATTCAGCTCCAAAAATCCCCCCAGTATAATCTGCCCCTTCACAAGCTACTGACACATCTAAAAAAAAATCATTAAAAGACATATAGCCAGCAAAACAAATACACAAAACACAAATTACAAAAAATCAGATTACCCGACCTCCAAGAACTTCAGGGTAAGGGTCAGCAGCTAAAGCTGCCGAATACACAAAAACAACCATCATACCCCCTAAATATAACAGTACTAAAACTAAAGATAAAAACGTCCCACCATGGTACAATACGATAAAACACCCAGAAACAGCAACAAATACCAAGCCTAAAGCAGAGAAATAAGGAGAAGGACTCAAAACAACCACAGCTACCCCCAATAAAAACATTACAAAAAAACATAAGACTAAACTTAACATATGCTCTAAAAAAATATTACTTTTATTTTAGAACACCCCCCACCCCACAACTTCCCCATTCCTCGCCTATGCCTATATGGCATAGGTATATCTAATGGCATAGGTATATGCCTATATGGCATAGGTATATCTAATGGCATAGGTATATGCCTATATGGCATAGGTATATCTAATAACATAGGTACCTACTCCTCCACATATCATTACAACTCATTGCATAGGCTTATCCCAGACTAAGGTACTCCTTTTATCACTCTTGGCATACAACTGCTAAGCTCGATTTCCCGAAGGGTATACAAGTATGTTTCACTGAAGACTCACATCCACCCAGGCATAGGGCATATATGATAGACCTTTCCCAGCCTCAATAATCTCTCACTCCCGCGGCTTCACGACAACCCCCTTACCCCCTTTGACCCCCTAAGTTCATTGCTGCCGTCAACCCCCTTAGGAACCGGCGAACTTTGGTCATTTTTACTTAAACTTATAAAGCTTTAATAGCTTAAATATAAAGCACTGGTCTTGTAAACCAGCGACTGAAGATGTAATTTCTTCTTAAAGCAATATTCTCATTAAGACTTTAACTTAAACCAGCGACTTGAAAAACCACCGTTGTAGAATTCAACTATAAGAACCCCAATACCTTTAATTGTAATTTTAAAATTTCTTTTTTTAATTGTAATTTTAAAATTTCTTTTTTTAATTGTAATTTTAAAATTTCTTTTTTTAATTGTAATTTTAAAATTTCTTTTTTTAATTGTAATTTTAAAATTTCTTTTTTTAATTGTAATTTTAAAATTTCTTTTTTTAATTGTAATTTTAAAACGTTTAATT